GTCATAATTAGAGATGATGATGATAATACAGTTGAAATTGAAACTGAGTAATTTTGGGTGGGTCTTGTCTTAAATTTGGTACATATTTCCTGAATACTATATTAATCTCTCTTTTTTGTCAGCTACAAATATGGTAAAGCCACCCACCAATAAAATTCTATCACCAGTGCCCACTTCCAACTCATACATGTTTAAATGCATTGGATAACAATGTCTGAAATTTATGGAACCACCAATATGTGTTTTTGTCATTCTAAATTAGGCCTCAAAAAGTACATTACTTTTGGGGAAAAACAGGCTCAGAGTATTATTTAGACGAATGGCGAATGTTCGAATCTCAAATTGTCTACTTTTTTGATTCAGTGATTGTTGATGTTTTCATAGCAAACAAACATAACAGAGTGATGAAACACTAGATTCAGGCACAAAATCACAACTCATTTTCATCGAAAGAAGCAAACAAAGAAGGGAGATTTACTCGTCGGATAATTTATCAAATACATTGTAGATTAACCATCCTTCAATGGCTGCAGCTTCAAGATGTTCTTCAGACCCTTTCTCTTCCCATTTCGACTCTATCGAATCAAGCTGACTCAAATCGGACCACAACACTCTGTGAGCTAACTCTCTAGTCCCAAGATACTCAAGCAACAGAGTTCCTTCGGCTTTCGCAGCCAGTTTCCCGATCTCAATAGCGTTTCTTATGACAAGACCGTGTTTTCTTCGAGCAATGTCAGGTCTTCCTCGATCTGGACTCCAACGAAAGTGACAAACTTTGAAGCAAAGAAACGGTATAGGTCCTTGAGGTTATCATGAAAAGGGTTAGGAAGTCGAAGGAAGAGACATAAGTTTTTTGTGCTAAGCTTCACAGATGATAGAGTCCACCCTGACTTTTTGGTTTCTGGTTTAAGAAATCCGACATTCCAATACACATCGAAGATCACCGCTCGGTTCCCATTCGAAATCGAATCTTCTCTTAATAGAGAAAGGTATGGAGAGATATCTGTTGATGATCCAACATCAATGGCTTTTGTCTGAACATAAGAGCCATCAGTCATCTTGAACTTTGGCCCATCAAAGGAAGCCATGTGATGAAGGAAAACACTGCTAAAAGAATTCACAAATCAAATCACAGATGCAGAAAGTTTAGATTCGATTATCCTAAAATTAATACAAACACAAATTGCATAGACAATTTGGTTACAACATTGAATAACAATTTGAATGTAGCAATAATCTAACAACGAATTGATAGTAAACAAACTTTTTTTCTGGGTTTTGGCTACAATTGTTTATTTCCCCTACTACTTCTAGCTTTGATTTTCATTCTTTGCATCAAAAGATAAGCGAAAATTACTTCCTTTGCTACATCTCTTCGAACTAATTACTGACACAGGAACAAAGATTCATTGACTTTCATAACTCCTGACACAATGATCAAATCAGTTATTGTAACCCAGAACGATCGATGCAAGAGATAAATCCTCTAATTTACATCTTATACGATTCGAATTTCAAGTAATCAGAGACATTAAACACAAAAAGGTAAAAGAAAAAAACACAACCAAGAATATGATATAACCTTGAAGTTTCGATTCAGGCTAGTAAACGGAAAGAGAAACTGTTTTTCTGGGTTTTTCCCAGAACAAATCCACGCGAAAGGGCACGAGTCTCCAGTTGCTTAACCGGTTTAAACCAGACAAACCGATTATGACCCAAACGTCTTGATTGTTTTGACATTTTGTTGGTTCATTGGGTTATCAAGGCCAATATAGTGCAATACTCCGGCCCTGAAGTTGAAAAGGCCTCAAACCACACCAAATAATTGTGGCCCATCAATAAAATTCACAATCTTTTTTTTTGCCAAAACATGTTAGACTCAACATATGCATTTGCATTTTTTAGGCACATACCAAGAACCAGCTTCATGCTATCACTAGTTTGTTTTATATCTCAAGCGTGATTAGCAAAGTTTGGCTCAATGTCCTACGTCCGCGTTCGATATGAGCTAAATTGCATTGCTAAACGATATAAGCTAAATACGCCATGTTATCATGGTCATCAAATCACTCCAATCACCAATCGTAATAATCTTCAATTAGAATGCATAAGAGTATAGATTATGTTTGTTGGGAATTGATAACTACTTAAGTGATGAAAGCGTCCCACACTATCAATTTGCCACAAACACATGTGCTCACACCAAACATTTGATACCAAAATGGTTGAGCTCATAAGGTACATTTCAACACAATAATGCTCAACTTTCACTCTTTGTAGAGTTACACTAGACTACTTCTTTCAATGTCTCCATTAATCTTTTAGTTGTTACAAAGTACACAAATCGCATTGAAAATATTCAACAACTATTCTCTTTCTCAATAAACAAAAACAACTACTTGATTGATCTAACAACAATTTCAATTTCAAAACTTAAATCGGTTTAGGTTTAGCTATATAACAAAACCAAAATTGTCCAATTTCAATTTTATCAACACAAAGGCTCTGATTCAGGACTGCTTCTTAAGCCCATTATCCATCAATTTTGCTATATACCGCCGCTTCTACACACAACGTCACAACCTACAAAGCCAAAGCAGCCTTACTCTCTCTCTTTACCTTTTTCCTTCAACAAATTCGCCGCTTATCTTCTCCGATCTTCCTTCTCAGGTACGGT